GATAAATTATGTCGGTCAATAACTTACCAAAGAAACAAAAATGCTTATCGTGGGTAACAACAGGATCACAGCCGTTTAAATTCACCGACTCAGCACCAGTTGTACAATCGAATGATCTGTCAGAAAACGAATTATTGATTCAAAATTATGTCGCAGGAATCAATCCTGCTGATTGGAAGATGGCTGAACATAATTTACTTCAAATAGAACTTCCATCTGTCACAGGCCATGATATTTCAGGGAAGGTAGTAGCTGTTGGAAACAGTGTTAAAGAATTTAAAGTTGGTGATGAAATATTCGGCATGCTTAGTTTAATAGCTGCTGGAGCTTTTCAAGAGTATTGTGTGGCGAATGAAGATTATATTGTAAAGAAGCCTTCAGGAATCACTCATGAGCAGGCTGGCTCATTAGGTGTAGCGTTCTTATCAGCTTTAGATGGTTTGCAACATGTGAACAATAAGATTAATGGAGCAACGGTTTTTATTCCAGGGGGATCAGGAGGTAAGTAGATTGCAACTTATTTTTAAAGCTAGGATGCGTTACGTTTTGTAGAACTTGAAGCTCAGGTTTGCATTCCTGATCGGAATGTTTAAGCCTGTCCCAAATTGATTGTTGGAAAATAAAATTTCTGCCGTAACTTAGAAACATTCTCGAATTCGTAGCAACCATATCCTTTAAATGGAATCTCATCAGTCGGGAACTATACTATTCGAACTTCTCTGTCGTGTGTACCGCAAAAACTGGCGATATTTTCAAAAAAGAGTGAATTAGATATTGAAAGCGGTTATCTGCTTTTAACTTTCTTCAACAGAAAACTTCGGGGAACGGAATCTGTAGAGAAAATAAATGTTTTCTTTTCTTAGGTGTTGGTCATTTTATAGTTCAAATATGTAAAATTTGGGGTGCCAAAACCATCATAACATCAGCCTCGAAAGACGACGGTATTAAATTGTTAAAAGAAACCTATAAATGTGATCATGTCTTGAATCACTGCAAATCGAATGTCGTTGATGAAGTCAAGAAACTTACGCAGGACCGAGGTGCTGATATCGTCTATGACGCCACATATTTGTCGTCAAGCT